AGTGAGGGGGTTGGTTGGGGTGGAGGTTCTGGGGAGGGGAGTGGTGGTCAAGGGACAGGGAGGGGTGGATAAGCGTGGGAGTCCCGGTGGGACTCGGGGCAGGGGTGTGGATAGGGGTCAGGGCAGTCAGGGGACAGGGAGCAGGGTGGGGTTCCCAGGAGGGAGTGGTCAGGGGACAAGGAGTGGGGAGGGGTTGGATGGGTCGGGGGTTCTGAGGGGGGCAGTCAGGGGGTGGATAGGGGGCAGGGGCCAGGCTACTTGGGGAGGCAAAGCCTTCCAGACCCAGCCCTCCATCCAGTTTCGCAACCCCAATGTAGCCCTCGGGCCAAAACGTTTGCCCACCCCTGGGCTAGATCCACAAACAGGACTCAGATGCAGTGTTGCAATACTTAACGTTTAGGCCCCTTTCCATCTAGGAGAATCCATAGTCCTGAATTAGGCTCTTAGGCTCCCTGTACAATGCATGGGAAGAATTAGGAACCTAAGAATGGGATTCACAGAAGTCAGCATGCTGAGCATGGAGCTGCCTATACTACAGTAGGAAACGCTGAGGAGAAAGGTGGGACCTAAGCCGCACCCCAAAAGGGAATAAGGCATCTTACAGAAGGTGTTCCGCCACTTGGGATTTACAGCCATGAATGCTTTCCAGGAGTTAGGCTCCAAAGCCAGGCCAGTCCTTTCTCACAAAAAATGGAGGCAGAGGCGGAGCAGCTGTTGGTGGTGTCTACCGCTTATACCCAAAATCTCAGCCTACCTGGAAGGCAGGAGACCCAGGTTCAATTCCCTCCGTGTCCCTGAGGTAGAACAGAGACCTGAAGCCACATTTTCCACCTCCTAGGAATGCCCTGAGCTATATGGTATTCAGGGGGTGAGATTGGATCTCACTCTCTCCTATTCCAGCCCCTACTCCAATCAATATTTAAGTATTTCATACACAGTGGAACAGCTTCAATAGGCGAGCTTGAGAAAGACTCCTCCCGGACTTTCAGTGAGACTTTGGAGTGTAAGTGCCTGTGGGTTAGATTTACAAAGGTATTTCAGCACCTAGAGAGACAAATATGAGTCTAATGGAATTGACAAGAGTGCCTAAGCAGGTTAGGTACCTAACTCCTATTAAGTTATTGGCATTCACGCAGATGTGCAGTGGGAAGTGAGGGCAGAGGAGTGGAAGAGTATAAGGAGCCTGCCCCATCCCCAATCTATGTGTTCACCTAATGGCCAGGCACAACTGCAGTTCCTATTCTCAGGAGAGCACAGGGATCCTATGTCCCTCCTCACCTGGGCACACTTGGTGTCCCATAAAGGGCAAGGAGGGGCATGTGTAAGTCAGGGTCATAGCTCTATTCCCTTATGCATGTGAGGTGGTGAAAGAAACTACAACCCACAAAAGTGTGTGGCAATGAAAGAGTAGTCTCCATGCACCTGGGAGCCCCTTTGCTGCAAGCATCCTGGATCTCTGAGATGCTTCAGCTGGGTCAGGGCTATCATTAACCCACAGGGACAAGCAGAATTCTTATGAAGGGCAGAGGATAAAGGGACAGAAAAACAACTGCCTTTTCCACATTTTCCTGCTGTCTCTTGCACCTATATCTTTCACTCTTCTTCTCCAGGTGGGGAAGCAGCAAGGAATGGTAAATCCTAAATGCCTAAACCTGCATTCTTTGTGCACCCATAAATACCTGTGTAACCAATGGGAGCTTTGAGTGTGCAAGGAATACTGGGCCAGATTCTAAGGGACAAAATCTCCCTGCATGGAACTCCTATAGTCTTCAGTGGGGGAGCTCTGCACCCACAGGCAGCTTTGGATGACTGGCTCCTAGCTGCCGACTGTAGGGCCGTTTCTATAGAAATGATAATATTTGACTGTACTGATGGACATGCTATGTTTGCTTTCGAAAGACAGTGAATCTTACAGCACATATTGCATGTGAATAGACATTTTCTTTTTATTAGAATTACTAAGACCTATTGGGGCTTTTTTGACACACAAGTTTGCACCAAAAAGATGTGTTTTTAGTGAAACTAGTGCAAGTTTGTGAGTCAACTTTATTCAATAAAAGCTGAACTGACACATGAGTGTATACACAGGGTTTTGCATCTGTTTAAAAACAAAGTTAAACTGCTGGAATATCAGTACACAGACAAGACCTTAGATTGTTAATTACTGCAGATGTGACTTTTTGTATATAGGTCTTTTTTATTAATGTACACTAGTCCCAATTACCACAAGACAGCAAAACCTTTGTCTGCTTCTATCTACGGATTATTTATTATTATTACTACTCCTACTACTGTAAAAGCCTATTATTTGGGGTGAGGAAGAAATCCATATGGAAACAATGAACCGTGAAAAGATGGAGGAAAAATATGTCCACTTATACAGACATTAAGCCATGTAACTTTTGGATAAAATCCTGATTTAATTTGCTGTACATGGAGTCAGGACTCAGGAACACTTTTGCAAAGCACAAGTGATTTGAAAGGAAAAACTGAGGATTGATACTAACAAGAGCTGGCATATTGCCACAGTTCAGGTTGACCACAGTGCACAGGGCCTGGAATTATCAACACTGTCTGCATTGACACAATCAGAATTGATGTTTTGTTTGTTCATTTCTGGAAAATGTCAGTTCAACTAATTCAATCAGAAATGGATCAGGCAATCAGAATGGGTTTTCAGACTGTCAGAAAACCAAACAATTTCCCATAATTTAAAGATTAAAAAGCCCCTGATGCCTCATGAAAAAAAAAACTGAAAATAATAATAAGAATTTAGTTTACAAAGCATTTCAGTTCATATAATCAAATTTCTTATCCAAGTCTCTTTCCTGTTTATTACTATCATCGGTCATAGAAAATTATAGTATCCCATTTTTCAGACTGTAGCTTGCTCATTTCTCAAACCGTTTAACAACTCACCCTTTGAACCATAATTTTGGGGAAAAAACTCCAGCAAACCTTGAGATAAATTAGTGTAGTGGTTCTCAACCAGGGGCCCCTGGGGGGCCATGAGCAGGTTCTAGGGGGTCTGCTAAAATAAACCAGAGAGCAGGGCTGGCATTAGACTTGCTGGGGCCAAGGGCAGACAGCTGAAGCCCAAGCCCAGCCGCCTGGAGCTGAAACCGAAGCCCAAGCAACTTAACTTTGTGGGGCCCCCTCTGGCTTGGGGCCCTGGGTAATTGCTCTGCTTCCTACCCCCTAACACTGGCCCTGGCTTTTAATCTACTGGATATGCAGAAAAACAATTATTGTGGCACAGGTGGGCTGCGGAGTTTTTTTATAGCATGTTGGGGGAGGAGGGCTCAGAAGGAAAATGTTTGAGAACCCGTGAATTAGAGCATACCTTTAAATAACCTTCTGAAGAGGACTTCAGTCAGTCTTTAGGTTGAGTAAGAGTTGCATGAATTGGCCTCAGGACTTATCTAAAATAATTGTCAAAGGTAAATGTATTAGTTAATTCCTTTAATGACATAGGATGCATCCAGACGAGCCAATTTGTATGTGTAAATGTTCAGCTTTTCCAAGCATTCCCTTTCTTGCTTTTTAGCACTAGTTATTTTTTAATGGCTCTTCATTACTTCCTAATTGTACAAACCTTTTTCCTTTATTTTTCTACTTAAGGACAGATTTACAAACGCAAAACAAATATTTACAATCCAAAGCAATGATTAAGCAATGGCTAAGAGGTTTCCTGGGCCATGCCAATGTTTATTTTATTATTTATATATACACGTGTGCAATGGGCAACGTCAGACAAACTTAATTATAGATGATGCGCGCGCACACACACACACACACACACACCAATATAAAACCCTGTTTTCAGTTGCTTAAACTTTTGCAAAAGTAACAGTTTGGATTGAAATTTTCCATGCTGCTTGTCTATTATTATTATTATTATTATTAATAAAAGTATTATTATTAGAAAAGTTCAGCCAAAACAGGTCAGTCATTTCCAAGAACAAAGCTAGGGAAAAATATGTTGTTTTGCCCATGTTGCAAATGTTCTTTGAAATGCTCTAGCACCCACATATTTTGGAGCAGAGACTTGAAAATTGGTCAGGGGCACGGCCTTTGTGTGAGGAATGTGCTGTCCCCATGAAAATCCACCCAAATTCAGCCAAGTTCTACACCTTTGAAAAATAGCCATTCATACTTTCTCAACAGAGACTTACTAGAACCTTCACAGAAAAAAAGTTGAAGATACCATCCTGTGGGCATGCTCTTCTCACAGGTCCTAATGCTGACCACGCTGCGTACACCATCCCCACAGAGCAAGTGGCCATCTCTATCTCCTCTCATCTCCTACTGCTGACCCGACTGTACAGGGCCTATCCCCACAGAGCTACTGAGCATGCTCCAGCCCAGGGCTACAGGGACCCAGAGAACTTTTCCTACTAATTTAACAAGTTGGACTAGAACCAAGAGCATGAAGCCTGCATCTCCTGTGCTCTCAATAACCCCCTTGCTGAGGGCCAGGCAGCAGTTAGAGGATATTTATCCCCTTGATTCAGATGAGATTGTATCAGAATGGTTGGGGGGAGATGAGAGGAGCAGATTGGGACAAGGAGTCTGGTGACATTGGGTGGGAGAAGAGAGAAACTGTGAATGGGAGGTGGAGGAGGGAGACAGACTGGCTGTCAAGTGGACTGGGCCTGGTTGGGCAAGGAAGCTAGGATTGGGAGCTGGTGCAGCAAGGAAAGACTGGACAAGGAGACTGGAACTGGGAGCTTGGAGGGAGGGTAAGCTGGAACTTGGAATGAGAGAATGAAATGAGGAGCACCAGGAGCCACTTGGCTGATGGGGAGACACAGAGATCAAAGCTAGGGGGAAGGTGGGGAACTGGGACTGGGCAGGCAAGGAGACTATGACTTGGAACCAGTGTGGAGGAGAATGTGAGTTGAGGGGGAGGAGAGGCAAATCTTAAAAGTAGCTGGGGTAGAACTGCAACTGGGCGGGCAAAAGACTGGGACAAGGAACCAAGTGGACCATGTGCACTAGACAGATTGGATGAGGAGCACAGAGATGAAGACTAGGACTGGGAGACAATGCAGGGGAAGAGGAGAGAGAGCTCAAACAAGGGACCAGGAGGGGGAACTGGGACTGGGTGAGCAAGGAGATTGGGGACAAGGAGCTGGTGTGGGAAGGATACTGGGACTGGTTTCTCAAGAAGACTTGGCCTGGGTATTGGGAAAATGAGATGGGGAGTCAATGTGGAGAATGGAACTTGAACAGGGAGCCTGGGAGGGGGAGACTAGGACTGGCTGGACAAGGAGACTGGGATGAGAAGCCTGAGGAGTGGAAATTGGGACAAGGAGCGTGGGTGGGGACAGCCAGAAGAATTTGTGCCCCCTCCAGAGCCTGGAATGAGAGCTAATATTACACTGATCACATACTGGTTTCTCCAGATGCCCCCCACAACAGGACCCCCACCTCATTCAGTGCCTCAGGAGGGCTTGCTCTGGGGGGGTGAATTAGGGTTGTGTAGTGAAAGAACCTGTTCCCTGTAGGACCCCTGCCTCATTGTTGCAGAAGCTGGAAGGTTTGTAATAAATAAGGCAGGGGACCTCAGGAAGAAAGGACATTTTCATGGATAAGACAATTGAATGCTACCCTGGAAAACTGGCTTCTATTCCTGCTTCTGCCACAGAGCTCCTGTGTGTGATGTTAATCAAGTCACTTAAATTTAAACCAAGCTTTTTTGAGGTGGTCACTAATTGTGTGTTTCTCATTTTCTGGGAGCTCAACCTGAGATGCCTCAGGCTTGATTTGAAGCCAAGCTGAGCATTCAAAACTGCAAGTAAAATCAGTGGGAGCTGGGCTTGAATATAAAGATTGCTATAGTACTAAGTAATCCCAGGCATCTCAAATTGGGCACCCAAAATTAGTGGACCTAATGACCTTAATCTCTCTGTGCATCAGTTCTCTGATCTGTAAAATGGGAATATCATCCCCCACAGGGATGTTGTGAAAACTAATTAATTAATCCTTATGAAGTACTCAAATAATATAATGATGATCACTATAGACTGAGGAAATTAATAATTCTTTCTTCAGAACAGGGTTTGAGTAGCAGGCAGTAAGTAACGGCCACAGAGATCAAGAAGGATAAAACAAAACATTGAATAACTGCTCATTAACTGAGTACAATTCATCCTGTGCACTGAATGAGGTAGAGGTCCTGTGGAAAAAATAGTATTATCATGTCACTGTAGGGTGACCAGACAGCAAGGGTGAAAAATCTGGACGGGGTGGGAGGTAATCGGCACCTACATAAGACACAGTCCCAAATATCGGAACTGTCCCTATAAAATCAGGACATCTAGTCACCCTATGTCACTGAATACTGTGTCATAATGCATATGCAAAAGGGAGCCAGATTATGGCTGCAAAGGTAGCCTTAATTCCGGTATTTCCTAACTTTTGAGCGCTTGACTTTTCAACCTCAATAATGTTGTTTTAATGTAGTTTTTGTGTTTATATATACACACACACAAATCTCAAAACCTCATTCTAATTCAACTAATTAAGCTCAATTAAGAGATAAAAAGCATTTAATATAAGCCTTGTGGTGGATGAATTAACTATAATTAATTTTAAAAAGATAGTAATTTAGTTCAAAGAGTCATTTTTTCGCAGTAAATTAAAAGAAACTACCTTGAGAACTGTTACACACACACACACACCCCTATGTGTACTTTTCTGTGAAAATGTTTTAATTGGTTGAAGAGCAGTTTTTGTACAAAAATACTGATCAAAAATGTTTGGTCAGCACTAACATCTAAGTACATAGACACAGCTATACATAGTTCATTTTTATGTCTCCTATCAATAAAAAATTCTATTTTATTCAACACATTCAGGCATAAAAAATGTGTACAGTACCAGTTGAGAAAAACCCCTGTTCTTCTAGGAAGGGAGAGCAAATACAGCAATAAGAATAAATTCTTCTGCCTCCTCTGTGCTCCATGGAACAGAGACCTCTGGAGTTCCACAGAGTAGCCAAATTCCATTGCCATAAAGCTCAACTGGAAACAGGGGCTTGCGGGGGCTTGCCTACTCAGTGGTTGCTGTGAAATGACTACATGGCCCTTGAAAGCTGCCTTTCCCCTTTGCCACCAAAGGAGATTAAGACGACCGAGTGAACACACAGAGCCACTCCAACTCTCTGGAGCTGGAGGAAAGTCACTGCAATTGACTGTCAGTCAAATGTCCATAGACACTTATGAGTTAAATAGGAATAGTGGCCAACCGGTACAGAATGGAGCTTTCAGCTCGATTGAGGAATTTCCCCAGCCCCCAGGAAAATGAAGGGCAGTGGGCACAGCAATGCCCCCTGCCCACCTTCCACCCAACTTTCCCACATACACAATCACTGGGTACCACCTTGTTCCCTACCCCTACTTTCTCTCTTCACTCTCCATCTGAGTCACCTCAGAGATGTTTTCTCCAGTCCCACATGACTTCCACAAGGAAGAAGGCAGGGAAGGACAAAAAGAGCATGTTTGTATTAGTTAGCACCCCCATAAATCAGCTCCATGGATTGTGACCACAAAGCCACTGTTGAGATGCTCCTTGTCTTCGTCTGCTGGCTCTAGTCTGTTAAACTTCAGGACAGACCAGGTCAATGCAGAGCCTACAAAGAGTTAAGGTGCTAATAGAGCCCATTATAAAACAAGAGCAGGATCTAGTCTTTTAACCATGAAGGACCAAAATCTGCACTTATTGAACCCCATACATGCTCCAGTCCAGTTGTACATCAGCACAGAGCCGAACACAAATTCTAATTTGTGACTGAATATACAGAACAGAGACTGACTGTCATAGGAAGAGAAAGTTAGGTGCCTTTTTCATGTACAGCAGAGGCCCTTATAGTGTTTCTCAGGGGAAGGGGGGAGAATATAAATGATACTAGCGGTATTTCTCATTCTAAGTGAAGAGGGAATATTGTACCTAATTGCAAAAAAAGAACCTAAGGGCTTCCACTGGAATTTTCCTTCATGGGACAGTCTGCATATTTTTTTCAGAAGTAGATACATTCCTTCATAAACTCATTTCTTTATAGAGCCAAGGCCTCATAATAAGCTATTTTGATCCAGTTAATTAGCAGCTTCCATCCCCACCACTTTGATTAAAACAAGTGTGATTCTAGGGTTGATAGGAGACAGTAAGCTAATGCATTTGAGTAGCTTTGAGTTCATTAAAAGTTGGGCTGAAATATGCCCGAAGTCAAAAAGAACAAAATCTTGGTGGTCTCATCAAGACTGTCTCTAATGCAAAACATAGCATTAAAACAAACAAACAAAAAATCACATGAAGCAAAACTGGCCATCTCTGCTCAACATAGTGCAAGGTTTGTAATGTGGTAGGTCTTTTGCAGCTCAGATCAGAGATGTATTATTAGAGCTTTGTGCTTGAATTT